AATGAAACTTTGAAGATTTGGCATGTATTTGACAGCTTTACTGTTCCTGAGGTCACAATTTGTAACCTGCCCTGCCAGCTTCCCACAAGCAAAGTCAGTGGGGGAAGCCAGATTCACTTAAGGGACACATGACTCATTTAACAACTTCAGTGATTTTCTTAACCACTGTGGCAAAAAAGATTGTAAAATGGGGCAAAACTTATTTAACAACTTCTTTCTTTCTTTCTTTCTTTCTTTCTTTCTTTCTTTCTTTCTTTCTTTCCTTCCTTCCTTCCTTCCTTCCTTCCTTCCTTCCTTCCTTCCTTCCTTCCCCCCTCCCTCCCTCCTTCCTTCCCCCCTCCCTCCTTCCCTCCTTTCTTTGAAATTTGGACTTAACTGTGGTTCTAAATTGAGGACTGTATCTGAATAGCATGAGATTATAATTCTGCTTTAGCAATGCAGGTGATCTTCGAGTCACAACACAAAAAAAATTAAAATACATGCAAACCACCTGGGCGAATAAACGATCAACCCCAATGGTATACAAAAGACTGAAACCAGGCACCCATATGTGAGAGGATAGTTTGGATAGCAATGTAATCTGAAACTTTCCGTAGTGCTATAAAATGTCTCTTTATGATTTCTGAGGTAATCTGACCAGTTTATGAATGGATAACAAAATGACCAATGAGGGCTCCACATGGAAGAAGCCATCTCAGACAAGCAATTTGTTTTCTTCTGGGTACAATTCAAGGTGCTGGTTGTCACCTTTAGAGCAGGGGTGAAATCCAGCAGGTTCTAACAGGTTCTGGAGAACTGGTAGCAGACATTTTGAGTAGTTCGGAGAACTGGCTAATACCACCTCTGGCTGGCCCCAGAGTGGGTGGGAATGGAGATTTATTTATTTATTTATTTATTGGTTCGATTTATTTGCCGTATTTTTGCATTATACCGATTTTGCAGTATTCTTCCCTGTGATAGCAGTAGTGCCATTATTTCACTTTTATTGTTGGTAATGCCTAGTTCCGCCCAAGTGGATCAAAGCAATTTTCAATGTAATTATGTATGCATAGCAGAGTATTATAGCCAGTCATTTCAATCTAGAGAGCCATAGCAGCAGCAACTAGCTATATGCACAACCTGCGCCTTTGCAAATAGTTCTAGGGCAGTGATGGCTAACCATTTTGCCGTCGCGTGCCAAAAGAGGGGGGAGAGCAGGGTGTCATGCGTGCGCATGCCCACACCCATAATTCAATGTGCCCCACCTCTACACGCATGCATACATGACGCCCCCCACTCCCCCCGCTTTTGGCACACGATGGCATAGTGGGCCAGGTAGGCCCGTTTTTCGCCCTCCCCAGGGGCGAAAAGGCTTTCTTGGAGCCTGAGGAGGGCGAAAATGGTCTTCCCTCCCCCTCCCCCCGGAGGCCGGAAACAGCCCGTTTCCCAACTTTCGGTGGGACCGGAAGGCCCAAAAATCAGCTGGCCAGTGCTCGCATGCATACTGGAGCTGAGCTAAGGCAAGGCTCGTGTGCCCACAGATATGGCTCCGCGTGCCACCTGTGGCACACGTGCCAAAGGTTTGCCACCACGGTTCTAGGGCAAGGTCACAAGTTGTGCATAGAAACTCAATAGGGATGCAAAAATGGGTGGTTTGTTTTTGTGAAGTTATACAAATAATCCTCTGCACATCCACGAGATTGGAATTTTTTAAAACCTGCACATTGACTTTAGTCAGTGTAACCATTACTTTGTTTTAAAGTTTTATTTTATTTATTTCAATATTTAATTTCATTGGCAATTTATCTTGAAAAACAATCTGTTATCTGAGCTCAAGAAATGCAAGCTGGGAACTTTCCATTATTACACTCTTTTATGGCTTGATTAAGCTACAAGCTTTCGGTGCAATGAGTTATAAGTAGTCCTCAAGTTACAACCATTAGGAAGCCTGCCCCTTAATTGTCGTTAAGTCATGACAACGGTAAAGCACATCATCCATGAGGCAAGTCAAATTTATAACCTTTTAACGTCAGCCATAAAGCAAAAGGCCATGGTTGTTAACCAAACCTATTGTTCGCTATGGAGTGCTTTTACCAAAAAGTAGAGGTAAATGTCCATTTTCAGCCAAAAAAAATTTGCAAATTGTAGTCACATGATTGTGGATGCTGCAAAAGGCTATAGATGAGATGTGTCATCTGAAATGTGATGTGACAATGGGGGGGGGGGTGCAGCTTCTTCAGAACTGATCATATAAGTAGCTTTTTTGGAGGGTGGGGGCATGTTCTAAAAAGTCACTGTGACCGGTTGTAAATTGAGGACTTCCTGCATATAGTAAGTAAACTAATCTGCTTGCAGGCTTAATGAGTTCAATTCCTGATAAGAGGTTTTATGAATGGAAGAGAATAATATCTGGCTATCTATTTCAGACGCATCCCAAGCAGGATGAAACTCCGCTTATAGTGACTCCTGCTGGCCAATGACATTGAACTTGTGTGAATGACACACATGCAAGAAAAATTTGGGAGATGAATATTAAGAAGTTGGAAAAATCAGGGAACAAGAATGACTTGGATGTCTGGGAAAGATCTTTCTGGCTAGTAGAGTAATGTCACAGAAACTTCCCTTGAAAGCCTCCTAAATTAATTCTGCACAGCCTATAATTAAAGTGGAGAACCTGAAGTTCTTCTCCTGGGGTCCTTCTCATATTTTTCTCATTTCCCAGATTCAAGGATATATTTTGGGAAGGTCTTTTTTCCTCTCTTAAATGTGTTCTCTGTGTTCCCAAGGTCTCTTTGGCATTTTGTCCCACCATTACAAAAGTTTGCAGCTGTACGCTAAATAAATACATAATAAATGCTTGCAGAGAACTCTGAAGGCTATGTATCCCAGCAGAAAGGCTTGTAAACAGGCAGTCCTCAAGTTATGATCATAATGGACTGGGTGTCCATTACAATCAGAAGTCAGGAGGCTGCTAAATGAACTTAATGACCCCCACAATCCTTGCTCTCCCAAACCATTCATTAAACAAATGGGCTGATGGTTAAGTGGATTGTTAAGTGGACCGTGGGATATCTCAGGCCTGGGGAGACCGTGGGAAGCCTAGTGCAGGTACAAGCCCACCTTCCTTGGTCCTCCCAAGGCCTCCTCCCCTCTCTAACATATCCCATGCTGCACTCCCCACCCCCTTAAGAGTCCCCACAATCATTTCTCTATTGCTAGCCATAGCTCTGCCAGTGTTAGCCTGGCAGATCGAAGGTTAGCTTTAGCCAGAAAAAAATAAATAAATTCTCATCGTTTTCTTTCTCTTGCTAAAGCTAGCCTTAGCTCGGCCAGGCTAAGAACTTTTCCAAGATTGTTTCTCACCCAGAAAAAGATGGCCCCTTGTGCCCTAGCAATGGATCCGCTCGCCCCTCGTTCTCTATCCCAATCGCCTGATTTTTGAAAAGTAAGTGAGTGGTCAGTGATGGGGGAGCGGGGAAGTGTGTGGAACACAATGGGGTAGCAAAGCAGTTCCTGTGCTTGTGCAGACTTGATGGGGCAGAATGGGAGGGAGGGAGGATTAGGCAGGGCCGGGGAGGTGCTGTTGTGTTTGCAGTCGATCATAAGGTCGTAAACGATCACAGGAGTACTGCAGCAGATGTTAACTTTGGAACTGGGTCATAAATACCTTTTGGGGGTTCTGTTGTAATTTAGAATAGTTCTATGTGACTGGTTGTTAGTTGAAGACTTGCCTGCAATCTGAAAATAGAAAGGATGGAGGTGGAGTTCCTAATAATCAATATATGCAAACTACAGTACAAGTAGTTTCGACTTAAGACCAGAATTGAGACCACATTCCTGGTCGTAAGTTATTATGGTTATAAATTGAGGCACCCATGTGATCAGACTCAATTTTATATTTTTTGCATTGGTTGTTAAGCAATTGCAAGGGCAAATATCTTATTCTGAATGGGAGTTTTTGTCAAACTAGCAAAAAAAAAAGGCCACAAATCATGGTTATGCTACAACTGATCATAAAGATGAGCCACCTTTCTCTCTCCCCCTGTGTTTGTATGTGTGTGTACATGCGCGCAAGTGTGTACAGGTACACACGTGTTCATGTGGCACATTTTATGATGTCCAGAAGTGCTTTACAAGCCATTAAGCATCCATTCTGGGGCCCTTCAGAATTTCAAAGCACCATTAAATGATTGTTAAATCGAGTATTGGGATTCAACATGTTTCTGGAAAGGTATTTGTTGTATTCGTTTTACATTACTTTCTTGGAACCGGAAAGCCAAGTAGGAGCAGATTTGGGGATGCAGAAAAATGCAGAGGCTGCTCACAACGATCATCTTCAATCACTTCCTTAAAATATTAATTATACCACTCAGAATGCATAAACATTTTCTTCTCACTCCATCCCTTTTAGGCCTCAAGGTAGATAATAATTCTCCAGGAAGGACAAAGATAGATAGATAGATAGATAGATAGATAGATAGATAGATAGATAGATAGATAGATAGATAGATAGATAGGTAGGTAGGTAGGTAGAAGATAGATGGATGGATGGATGATGGATGGACAAACAGACACAGACAGACAGATAAGACGGGTGGATGGATGGATGGATATAGATATATGAAAAGTAGATAGATAGATGATAGATAGATGATAGGCAGGCAGGCAGGTACTGTAGGTAGGTAGGTAGGTAGATAGATAAATAGATAGATAGATGTGGGTGGTGGGTGGATAGATATTTAATGTGTCACTTTAAATGTACACTAGTTGGCATACATTAATGAAATTTCGTTGCACGCAGACCCCATTAAGTCTTCACTGCAGTCATGCTTCCTTTTGTTGTTTTTTTTAACTCTCGATTCATGCCTATTATTTAAAGACTGCAAAAACCTATCCAACAACTCCGCGCCGGCGGGAGAAAGACGGTAGGCGGAGCTAACACAAGCGGGGGAGGCAATGGTGGGCGGAGTCTTGCAACTTGGCATTTCTGCCGCTTGTTTTGTTAGTAGGCGGAGATTGGGCTGAACCCACTCTATCGGTCCCGAGGGGAGGACGGATATCTCTCGATTCGACAAACCGAACCTTGCCTTTAGCGGATCCGCCAGTTTTATCAACACACGCTCTGTCCCATTCAGAAAAGAGCTAGGAAGAGGCTTCCAGGACGTCCAAAGAGGACGTTTGGCTCCCGGTCGCCACCCTCCTGCTTTTCCTCGCCCCCCCCTCCGTTGGCCGGACGTGGCCCATTCCAAAGAGCGCGCTCATCTCTCAAGGTTCGGCGGCTGTCTAGGCAAAGGGGGGCAGCGGGCGGGGTGATCCGGGGCTTCGCGGGTCTTCTTGAATCCTCACGCTCGGCAGCCGAAGCGGCTGCATCGTCGGACGCGATCATGGCGAAGGAGGAAGACAAGGGTGAGTTGAAGGTCCCCGAGGAGATGTTCAAGGATGTCAAGTTCTTCGTGGTGGGAGACATCGACCCCAAGGTACGTTGCCGCGGAGGGGGGCGCGCTCTTCCCCCTTTGGGTTCCTCGGCTGTTCCTTCCGATTTCCCTCCCCCCCCCCTCCGCAACCCTCTCGGGACCTTAAGATGACAGCGGCTCGCTCGGCGTGGGGGGGGGGGAGGAGGAGGACAGAAGGCGCATGCGCCCCCGCGAGGCTCTTTCCAGAGCGGGACAGGGGGTCATTGTTGCCCCTCGCGCGTGCTGGAAGGGCGGGGGAGGGGCAGGGAGATCAGCCGTTAACCGTTCGCGGCGTCCGGCTTCCACAGCCGCGTCCGTGACTGACGTGACCGCCTCCTCCTCCTCCTGTCAGTCAGTCCCGCGTTTGCTGCTGTGGAAAGCCGGGCAGGCCTCTGCTTCGAGCTGGCTTGGGTGGGGGAGCGGGAAAAGCAAGGCGAGGGGTAGCTGAGGGCCGGGTGGTCCTCCCGGTGTCGGCGCTGCTTGTCTCCCCCGCGAGGGAAGCGCCCCGACTAGGCCTCTGGCGCTCCCCCGCTTCTCTCGCGTGCCGTTTCCTCCTTCTCTGAATGAAGGTTTAAACCACCTTGCTTCTTCCTCTCCGCGGCACACCGGACCTCTTTCCAAGGGGGTCTTTAAAGACGAACAAAAATCTCGTGAGAGGAAAGGATTCCTTCCACCCGGGGGAGCAAAAAAGGGAAACCCCGATTTTTTCCTGCTCTCCCACGGAAAGAGATCCCACGTATTAAAAAAAAAGGGGGGGGGAAGAGATAACGCCGAATCTTCTTTCTTTCTTTCTTTCTTTCCCCTGAGCTGTTAGTCTTCTGCATGCGGGGAAGTTTCCTTCTGTCAGTGGGAGAGCCGTTGCCACATCAGGGCAACCCACCTGGCAAGGGCTAAAGCCTCCTCTGGATGTGGAAGATGGCAGCTGCTGGCTGATCCCCACCGGGAAGCAAAATGTAGCTGGACCTGTTTAGCTTTTAGATGGGGGACCACTAGGCGATCACAGGCAGCAGGATAGATTGGGGAGCTGAAAAACATCCCCACAGAGAAGCTCATGCTGTGTGCCTAAAATGCATTTTCAATTTGTTTGTAATAAGACCCGTGCACCAATATTTTTTTATATATAAAGTTTATTGTCATTGTGCGTATGTACACAGTGTTTATTTATTTATTTATTGGTTTGATTTATACGCCGCCCTTCTCCGGAGACTCAGGGCGGCTTACAATGCGTTTAGCAATAGCCTTCATACTTTTGTATATACCTGCTTAGTAGGGCTTTCGCCCCCTCCTAAGCGGTGTTCTTTTTTATACAAAGTCAGCTTATTGCCCCCACAATTCCGGGTCCTCATTTTACCTACCTCGTAAGGATGGAAGGCTGAGTCAACCTTGAGCCTGGTGAGATTTGAACTTGCAGTAATTGCAGGCAGCTGTTGCTACTTTAACAGCACTTAGTCAACTGCGCCACCAAGGCTCTTGGTGTACCCATACAACGAAATTCGCGTAACCCAGAGACCAAGCCCAACACACATGACAATCCTCAGACACCCCCACACACACTAAAAATTTCCCATCCCTCAACCACCCAAGCAGACCAAGTATTGCTGTCCAACAGCTCACTGATGGTGGCTCTTTAGTTCATCGTTGAGTGCAATTATAGTTCTGGGATAAAAAACTATTCAGAAGACATATGGTCCAAGTTTTAATTGTTCTGTATCTTCTGTCAGAAGGCAACAGTCCAAAAAGATTGTAAGCAGGATGAGAAAAGTCTCTGAGAATGCTGTGCAACTTCCAGTAGGGGATATTTGTAGTTTAGAGTTGAAGTGGGGGAGGATAGATTGGGAAGCTGAAAAACATCCCAAAAGAGAAGCTCGTGCTGTGTTGCCTAAAATGCTTGAAATAAGACCAACATGGACTCATCAAATCACTTGCACTAATAAATTTGTAGCTCAGGGTTAAAGTGGGGGAGTCCTGCTATTTAACATTTCTTCCATTTCCTCTGGTATTATCGGAAGATCCATGTCTTTTAAATATTTCTTTATATCTTCCTCCTCCACCGTCTCCTGGCTATATAGAGTGTTTCAAAATAATTTTGGCTTATTCTCTTTTTTCCCTTACAACCGATGGTGAATTTCAATTTGTTTGTAATAAGACAAAAATGGACTCATCAAATCACTTGTACTAATAAAGAATATGTGTAATTTAGGGTTAAAATGGGGGAGTCCTTGGTGCTCTCTTGAGTTATTTTCTTGCAGATATTTCGTTACCCATTTTCAAGAAAGCAATCAATCTCAATAGAGCACAAAGGACATCACACGTACTAAATCCGTTTTGCTTTTATGTTCTGAAACTTTTATTTTTGTAACCACTTCAATGTTACAAATGTGGATCTGGGGTACAAAATGATTGCAATTTAATGGTGAAATAAACTTCATTCAGGATCCAGTAACTCTTTTCCTCCTCCCCTGATGAAATAACATTTTTGAAACTTTCTTATTGTGCTACATTTCGTTTTTCATTATTTTACATTTTATTTATTGCTATCTTGGCCAACTATGTGTTTATTATGCTGAGAGAGCAAGAGCTGATTTTTTCAAGGAAGCCTTCAGGTAGCCTAGTTTTAATGAAATGTGGTATTCATTTGTTGCTGTTAGTTGTGAAGTCGTCGTGACCCCATGGATGACGTTCCTCCAGGCCTTTCTGTCCTCTATCATCCCCCGGAGACCATTTAAGCTCACGCCTACTGCTTCAGTGATTCCATCCAGCCACCTCATTCTCTGTCCTCTCCCCTTTTTCATTTGCCCTCAGTCTTTCCCCAGCATTAGGCTCTTTTCCAGTGAGTCCTTCCTTCTCATTAGGTGGCCAAAGTATTTGAGCTTCATCTTCAGGATCTGGCCTTCTAAAGAGCGGTCAGGGTTGATCTCCTCTAGGACGGACCAGTTTGATCACCTTGCAGTTTTTCTGGCGCTACTAGTACTAACCCTCTGCTCTTCCCTAGTAGCATATTGGACATCTTCCGACCTGAGGGGCTCATCTTCCGGCATCATATCTTTTTTTCCTTTTGGTTCTGTCCATGGGGTTTTCATGGCAAAGATACTGGAGTGGGTTGCTATTTCCTTCTCCAGTGGATCACCTTTTGTCAGAACTCTCTGCTATGACCTGTCCATCTTGGGTGGCCCTGCACGGCATAGCTCATAGCTTCAGTGAGCTACGCAAGCCCCTTCACCACGACAAGGCAGTAATCCATGAAGGGGGTGGTATTCATACAACATCCTTAAATGTATTGGAGGAAAGCTAGCAGATCAGCAGTAGGATTGGGGACTGGCCCAAAGAGCCCTAGAGGTCTTTCCCTGATCAGTCATGTCATGAACTAATGAGAGAGGGTTTTTTATTCAGTTTCTGGCAATAAGACCTAGAATGCCCACCCCCCACCCCCATTGGAGTGATTTCAGGAGCTCTCTTTTATTTCTATTTTAATTCCTTTCCACATGATTACATGGGATGGAATAGGGTTGGTAGGCTTTCTTCCCTTTCCTGCTCCCAACAAAAACCCTTTTTTAAAAAACTAAGCAAAGACCTAGGAATGATAGCCTTCCTCCCTGGCAGTTAGGGGAACAGCTCATTAAATCAGCCTTGAACACAAACCAGACGTTCATTGATGTCCAGCAACAACTTTGTTGTTTGGCTTTATTGAATTTCGTGCTGTCTCTGGGAAAGGGGATAATATTAGCATGAATGTACGCACTGTATGTATCGGAAAATGTGATTTGTTGTACATAAGCATTTTTCTGAAACTGAAAGAGTAACGTTTCACTTTCATGTTATATAGGTTATTCAACTTCTGAAAGATGGGAAGGCAAAGGAAGTTTCCTATAATGCTCTAGCTTCACACATCATTTCAGAAGATGGAGATAATCCAGAAGTTGGTGAATCTCGTGAAGTGTTTGATCTTCCAGTAGTAAAAGTAAATATTTAGAGCATTATAACTATTCTTATAATGGATGGGCAGGACGAGGAGCAATGAATGGAGCAACCTAGAACTAAGAAGAAATTTCCTGACAGTTAGAACAATTAACCAATGGAACAACTTGCCTCCAGAAGTTGTGAATTCTCCAAAACTGGAAGTTTTTAAGAAGAGATTGGACAACCATTTGTCTGAAATGGTATAGGGTTTCCTGCCTGAATAGGGGGTTGGACTAGAAGACCTCCATGGTTCCTTCCAACTCTGTTATTCTATTCTATTCTATTCTATTCTATTCTATTCTACTCTACTCTACTCTACTCTACTCTACTCTACTCTACTCTACTCTACTCTACTCTACTCTACTCTACTCTATGATACAGAACTTAATGTTTCTAGGTTTGCATGCAAAGAAATGCTTTTTGTGTGTGTTGGGAAAGGAGAAAAGGGTCAAGTCCATCATGTTGAGCACTGTGTTGTGTGCATTATGAGCCTACTGGTAAACAGCAAGTTAATGCCTCAGCTCAAATTCCTGGCACCAAAAAACTCCAAACGCTAAGTTATTGGAATCAGGATTGATAGTCCCAGTTATCTGGCTGGCTAAGGAGGGCATAGATGTTTGATGAAGATACTTACAAAAGAAATGTCCTTACTGTTGCCTTGTACAGGTTATCATATGTTTCAATAATATCAAATCCTTTCAATATTTGGAACCTTAACTATAAATCAGTTTTATTATAATCACAGATCAGCATAGTTTGAAATACTAATATGAAGGTAAAAGCCACAGATTATTAATTATATACATGTAGAGGATTCCTATTCAGTATTTTATATCTACAGATAGGCCTGGGAGAAATTGTCTGAAACACAGCTATTGCCAATTGACATAGATAATACAGAAATAAACAATTCTTTTGCTTGATAAGATAACTTAATAGCAATAGCACTTAGACCTATATACCACTTCAGTGTTTTACAGCCCTCTCTAAGCAGTTTACAGAGTCAGCATATTGCCCCCAACAATTAAATATGATGAATGAATGATAACCAGATGAGCGTGTATGCGTATGATTATAATTAAAAAGCTATTCTCAGATATATAAATACTTATTTATAGACTCTTACTAGATTATTTTTTAAAACCTATTCTAGCCTTCCTGGGTGACTTTGTCTGTTCAGTGTGGAGCTCTTCTGCCGTATCCTTTCCAGTGAAAATGTTAACAAAATTATGTAACATTTGATGTTTTTAATATAACTTGCTTTTAAGCTAGGCAAGAAATTGTTTAAGAGAATTAATTTAAGGTAGGTCCTCCTACATTTTAATGCTCTTGCAAGGTCCAGTTGCTTAATTGGAATAATTCTTTTTTCTTTCTTTGCTAGTCCTTTGAAATTTTTGAGAGAATGTATATTGAAATTACTATTAAATAAATTACTATTAAATGTCCTATTAGTCTGATCTACGGTAAAGAAAATGCACATATGTGAAACATAAACTGTTTGGGATTGTTGTTCCTTATTAATTTTTGTCAAACTTGTCTTATGACATTTGTTTTAGAATTAATTGTTTTCTCTAATCTTGTAGAGATTATAAATTAGGAATTTGCTAAATTATAATTTACAATCTCAAATATATATGTCCCTAATAATTATTCTATAATTCTGTGTTTTCCAGACTTCTTACCTTTCTATTATATTTTTATTTCCCTCTTATATTATTTATATGAATCTTCTTATGCTTATAGTAAAAAAGGAATATATTTCTTTCTTTTTCTGGAAAAATCAAATGTTCGATAGCTTTAATAAGTATTTTAATTATTGATAATTGATTGTATGTGTCAGTAGGAACAACATCTGGCCAACCTTATTTGGATTTAGAAAGGAAACATGGTAGGTAGATAGGAGATTTTCAGGACATATGAAGGCTATTTGGTAGACAAACCATTTTGGTAATACTTCCAAGAAAACTGAATAATATGTCCATGAAATTAACATCAAAGACTTGTTTCAGGATGCTTAATACATATACATTACTGTTGAAATTGAGTTTTGTTTCTGTTTTGATTTCTTTTATTGGCACCAATTTTGTCCCAAATGACCACTTTTTTCTCCTTTTATCTACAAAGCCATAATCAATGTTTGAAAGAAAATGCAGGGGTGAAATGCTACCGGTTTGCTCCAGTTCGGGCGAACTGGTAGTAAAAAAAAGTTTAAAAAAGCTACCGGTTCCTCCGAATCCTGCTTTCTAGCAAAGCTAAATCGCGCGCCACAGCTGATCCCCCCCCCCTCGCTTCTACTTACCTTCCCAAGCCTCCTTTTGGTGTGTACTCTGCATGCGCACATGTAGAGCATGCATTTGATTTGCATTGTGCTTGCACACAAAGCACATGTTTGGCGCGCAGTGTGAATGCGCAGCCAGCGAACTGATAGCAAACTGCTTCGGATTTCACCACTGGGAAAATGTAATGTTAACTGCATAGTTTAGAATTACCATTTTCTCTCTATAGATGTAGGTATTATTTTTACATCCCTCAAATTGAATGTTATGCATAAATACAAAAACCATGATTTTGTGAGATAGATTGAACCTGATACTTAAAATAATTGGAAACAAAGGCTGCAAAACATATATACCATGTTTCCCTGAAAATAAGACCTAGTCTTATATTGTTGGGACTCCAAAATAAACACTAGAGCTTATTTTCGAGGAAACACAATTTCAGGGTAATCAGCATGGCTAGAGGCCACACACTCCAGCATGTGCACAAAAGGAGAGCATGCGGGAGCTGACGTCCAGCAGCAGCTGCAGCCTGCTAGCCCCTTGGACGGCACACTCTGGGGCTGCACAGTCCATGCAGTGTAGGTGAGTTGATTCCCTGTCCAACCAGCAGGGGAGAAAGCACGGAATCCGGATGTGCCGCACAGGCCAAGAATCAGGGGCGGCTGGCCACAGAAGGCTCGTCTTCATGCGGCGGCACTGGCAGCAGATGGAAGCAGAACGCAGGGGGAGAAGGCAGACAATCCGTACTCGCCATCTGGGCCTCAGGCAAGCTGAGAGATGGGACGGAGTGGGTGGGTGGTCTCAGGAGGCTTGTATTCACATCTCGGCTTACCTGCAGCCCGTGTGGAGCATTGGGATCGCCTGCCCTTCCCCCCCCCAATGCCTTTGTCTCCTGTGCTGCTGCGCGAACACGAGCCTCCTGTGGCCCCCACCTGTTCCAATCCACCGACTCGGCTTTTCCGCAGCTTGTGTGTCACATCCAAATCACCTGCCTCCCCCCCCACCTCTGTCTCCACCTGCTGCTTAGACATGTAATCAACTCACCTGCGTTGTGCAGGCTGTGGCTGCTGCCAGACATTGTCGGCCCTTGCCACCTCTGGTGCTGGCTATGCACACCCCTCCCTGGGCTGATGACGATCTTCACTAAGGCTCATTTTTGGGGTAGGGGTTTATTAGGTGCACACTTAAAAATCAGGTTAGGGCTTATTTTCTGGGTAGGTCTTATTTTCGGGGAAACACGGTATGGGTTTTGTGGGACACACTTCCAAAAAGCATCCTGTTTGTTCATAAGACAAAGTATTCACTTAAATATATCTGATGATTTTGTAGCAGAAGAAGGATTGTGATCTCAAATCTACCAAGTTCATTTCCTCTTTTGACTGCATAATGCTAGATTAGTTTCTGCTCTCTCTTTTTAGAAAACTTGGTATGCACAAAATTATGCATAGTTTCTTGTGAAGTTTGGGAATTTTTTCATTTGTTTATGTTAATACATTTTACATTTTATTTATGTTATTTCCTTGACTTAATTTTGTCAGAGTAAATGGCTTTTCCCCTGAATCCTGTCAGATCTTTTTTGGAGTTGCTGCTTGTCTGTCTCAGGTAAAATATTTTGCAAAGCAGCTAAATGATACAATATACAATTCAAAATATTTTTTACTAAAGTAGCTTACCTTTTTTTGGTAGGTTTCCTCTGAAGATCGGAATATGTTGTGGGCTTTGATTACATTTTATGGTGGGGATTGCCATTTGAGCCTCAATAAAAAATGTACTCATCTGATTGTGCCTGAACCAAAAGGGGTAAGAATTTTAATGCATGTTAATGTTGTTTTAGCATATGGAATACAGGTCAACATAGTTTGTGTCTTGTAAGTATGTTACCATTTTAAGAAGAATCAGCAGTATGTAAATGGATTAATATAGAAGTCATTTCATACTTCTGATGAAATCAAAAGAAATTTGGCTGAGATGTTCCTAGGCAAAATTGTGTTTTGGGGACTGATAAAATATTCTGATGAAGGATAATGAATTTTAGCTTAAGTTATTTACAAATAATTGGTGTCACAGCTAAAATAGGTGTTACCAATAAAAGGGAATAGGATAGAATAATCAGGGTTAAACTGTGAGGCCTTTGGTGCTCTGAGTTTGGTTGTTTTCTTGTAAACATTTCATTACCCAGCTAGATAATATCAGTGGTAAGCGGGTATGGGGCTAGCTCTCTGTGGATGGGGAGAGATAAAGAAGTTGAAAACAGTAACAGGACTGGAATACCTGCTATTTTCTAAGGAAAGACTCAATGCTGCATAATCCAAATGCCACAGATTTTACCATCCATTTGTTTAATTTTTATTTAATTTACTTTTTATTAATTAACTACCATACAGTTCCAACTAAATTATGTCTCCTACTCCAAAGTAGGAGTGGGGATAGACTTTGGGTAATTAATTATAAAGTAAAAACATCTGCGTAAACCAAGACATTTTCCCAGACCATTTTCCCAATCCCCCAATTAAAGCAGCATAAAAAAACCTAATTAGCCACCAGTAATAACCAGGTTAGCAATTGATTGGCCACTGAAAAACAAGCATTTTTAACACCCCTTGGCATGTCAGAAGCGAGCAGGCTGGATACAGTTATGAAGTCTATTTATTCCATAACATTAGGCCCTTGATCAAGGACATCTCCTTTCTGATACATGTTCCTCTCACCTTTTGAGAAGATGAGATACTAAACAGGTCCTCTCTAGATAATCTCATAGGATGGACAGGAAAGAGGTCCCTGATATAGTCTGATGCTGTGACTTGTAGAGTTTGGTAAGTAATAACCAGCATTATGAATTCAGCTGAGATACCTATCGGTAGGAGCAGCCAGTTGAGCAACTACAGAGTAAGTAAGTTTCATCTATCAGCAATCTGACATTTGAAACTTTTTGAATTCATTCAGTTTGCATTTATAATATTTACATTCCAAACATTTTTGAAATGTTTTTCCAGGAAAAATACGAATGTGCCAGTAGACGAGAGAACATTAAAATTGTGACACCTGACTGGATTCTAGATTCTATATCTGATAAAACCAAAAAAGATGAGGTTCCCTATCATCCCCGTTTAATAATATATGAGGAAGAGGAGGAAGAAGAGGAGGAGGAGGAAGAAAATGAAGAACAGGATTCCCAAAATGAAGGGAGTACTGATGAAAAGTTATCAAGTCCACCATCTTCTCAAGAAGGATCTCCTTTGGGCAATCGAACTTTTTCTCCTAAGTCTATTGATGCTGACAGAAACAAAGGAGAACTTATGTTTGATGATTCATCAGATTCCTCTCCTGAAAAGCATGAAAGAAATTTGAACTGGACCACAGCTGAAGTTCCACAGACTGTTGCCAGAAAGCACACATTGACTCCAGGCAAGGACTCTGGATTGATTAATTTGTGTGCCAATGTCCCTCCTGTCCCAGGCAATATTTTGTCTCCTGATATCAGAAACAATATGATGGCTTCAGTACAAACTCCGCAAAGTTCTGGACATCCTGAAATGATGGCAACATGGAGTCCTGCAGTCCGGACACTAAGAAATATTACCAATAATGCTGATATTCAGCAGGTTAATAGACAATCAAATGTAGCACATGTAAGTACTTTTAAAGTATATGTTGATGAAACATTACTTGGAAATGAACACTTTCTGTCTTAATGTTGTATCAGTAGTTGGGACTTCCCTGAAGTGATGCATGCAGAATTGCAAACACACTTGTCACCTGTCATAATGAAGATTTTGTTGTTGGTTTAAGAATTTCTGTTTGGAGCTGTTAGACCACTCTTTGATCATCCTGGACTTTTTGAATACATAAGAATCCTAACTTGTCTGTGAACTTCAGAAATAAAAGAAACATTTTGAAGAGAAGAATGTGATTGTTTTGTTGTTAAAATGTAGAATGTTTTCTGAAAGTCTAGTGGAGTATAAAAACATAATTTAAAATGGAATTTTTCTTTTCTACCGAGTCTTCAATTTTTACATGGTAGTTCTAGGAAGAATTCTATTTGCTTATCTGTGTTTTGGTGAACTACTTGTAAGATTTCTGAAGTCTTGACTTAATGGGAAGCAATTATCTACAGCCTAATTAGGTCAGCTCTTTAAGAGCTTTCAGACTTCAAGTTGTGCTAAATGCAATTAATCAAAGCATAGTACCAAGAAAGCATTTCTATAGCAGTGTTGCAGGTCTCACCGATGCAAGTTATTTTTTAGATTAAACTCCAAATATTGGTCTATCTAAATATCTAATAAACTAAGGAAATGTGTATTTCATTATATGTGCCTCATTGTTTACGAAGATCTTCAGGAAAGACCCCTTGACAGTAATATACTTTGTCAAACTGATGGGAGTGATGCACTTTATTCAGAACTATAATGTTTCTCTTCCTCAGCTTTTGAAACATGCTAGAGCAGGGGTGTCAAACTCGCGGCCCATGGGCCAGATGCATCACGCGTTGGCTATGCCCACCCCCAGTTTAGCGAATGGGAAAAAAGTCGCAATATGTCACATGACCACGTGACACCCCTATGCTAGAGTATTTGCGTTCATTTTGCTTTTAATGTTCTTTATATTTAATTCAGTCCTACTGTTTTTATGTTTTTATTATTTTATTTGTTCTGAATAATCCTGGTAGCTTTTACTCAGGAGAAATATTAGGAAAAAAATAATAAAACTATAACTATAATAAAGCCTCTGTGTTGTTTTCTAGATCTTGCAGTCACTTTCAGCACCCACAAAAACTTTGGAGCCACAGATAAACCACAGCCAGCAGGGGCATCCCAACGCAGTCTTGCTTAGTCAGGTCAAACTGGCCCCGGAAACGCGCTTAGTGCAGCCGCCTCCGCCTCAGCATCACCAGCCTCAGCAACCGCCACCGCTGCAGCAGCAGCAGCAGCAACAGCAACAACAGCAGCAGCAGCAGCAGCAGCAGCATCACCATCTCTTGCATCTCCAAGCTCAGCAGCTCCTGCAGTTGCAGCAACAGTCTCAGCCGCCACAGGCTCAGATTCCCCAATCGCCTTTCCCACAGCAGCCGCATCAGTTTGCCCAACAGCAGCAAGTCCATCAGCACCAGTTTCCTCAGCAGCCGCAACAGCAGCAGTCACAGCAGCAGCTCCCCTTCCCTTCCCAACTGGTACACTCCCAGCAACAAATGCACCGCCCACCACAGCCCATGCAGTTTCAGCAGCAGCAGTTGCATCGATTGCAACAGCAGCACCTGCAGCAGCAGCAGCAGCAGCGGCAGCAGCAATTGCAGCTTCAGCAGCAAAACCTTCAGCAGTTACAGCATCAGCAGCAACAGCAACTCCAGCAGCAACAACTCCAGCAGCAGCACTTACAACAAATGCAGCAGCAGCAGCAGCAGCAAATGCAAATGCAAATGCAAAATCAGACACCACAACACTTGACTCCAACATCTCAGACACTACACCATCAAGTTCCAATTCAGGCCCCACAGAATCCCCAGCAGCAACAACTGCAGCAGCATCAACTGTTTGGACATGACCCATCTGTAGAAGGTAGGTTAATTAGTTATATGCATCCTGACTTTTGTACAGGATTTCAAGGTGGCCTGCTTAGTGTTTCCTCCTGTTTTTTTCCCAAAGATCAATCCTGTGAGATAGATTAGTGATAAATCTATTTTGTTCTTGCACATTGAGGCAAAATTGTTTAAAATGAGAGAAAAATTAGTAGTAAATCAGCTAGAGTAAATTTGATACGAATGTATTAGCACACACACTATCCATGATCAGTGTAAACAGCTGTCAGCAAGGCAAGCCTTTTCCCTTTCAGTGGATTTCTGAAAGAAGGAAGCCATGTTAGTAGAGAAGCAGGACAGTTCTAAAAAGGCTGTGCTGTAAGCTATTATATATGTGGAACCAAAGAAATCAAGGATAGCTACTGCCCTGGGGAAGTTCTTGCACATAGATAAAATGCTTAAAAGATTGTTCTTAGGAATTTTGGACCTCTGTTCAGTTCTTTAAGTCTCATCAATTGGATTGACCTAGAAATTTATTTTTTGCCTACCTATCTTCATACTAGAACCACTAGAAGAAAACCTAATTACTCAGTTGCATTGCGCTTCAAATAGTGATATCTCAAATATAATGGTTAAATTTTGAATGCAGTTAGCACCTGAATCCAATATGTTTCCCTCTGTGTCAACTTTCTTTTAATATGGGGTATATTTGTCAAACCTTGTCCTCTCAAAACATTCAGTCCACACATTCACATGGATTGCAACTTTCTTATAGCAGTAACAGACAGGTAGACATGCTTAACTTCTGTCTCATGCGACTCCTTTCTCAACAATCCATTCCCACATTTCCTGTTTCATTCTAAACTAACAGCTATATGGACACAACTGGTTTCCGCTGCTGTCTGCTAAGCTAGTGGATGACAGGGATCCAATGTGCAAATCACAAAGCAGCAGCCTAATTGCTGTTGGAATTTTTACCTTGGAATAATATCATTTTGGAATAATATTGGTCAAAATATAGAGCAAAGTAATTTGTTCTCAAACACAATTCTCAAGGTTGAACTTAGTTTCAATCTTAGAATCTGTAAAATGGCTATTTGGGAATTGAAATGCTTTGCACACACTTAGCAAGAAGGCCTCTTGCTGCATTTGAAAGACAAGATCAGGCATCTGCATTTCAGTATTAATTGGTTTGAGAGGAACCAAATTTTAAATGTGCATACTAGTGGTAGGTTTCAAATTTTTTTACTACCGGTTCTGTGGATGTAGCTTGTGTGTGGCATTACTTGGTGGGCGTGGCTTGGTGGGCGTGGCAAGGGAAGGATACTGTAAAATCTCCATTCCCACCCAATCAGCTGGGACTTGGGAGGCAGAGAATAGATGGGGGCGGGGCCAGTCAGCATTTTTACTACCGGTTCTCCGAATTACTCAAAATTTCCGCTACTGGTTCTCCAGAACTGATCAGAACCTGCTGAAACCCACCTCTGATACATACCATTGTAGATGATTGCATTAATTATAATTTAAGAGAAAAAAGTGTTTTAGATTAATTTCAACTGCATTTTTTTTTCAGTTCCTGAAGAATATTTCTTACTGGGTTGTGTCTTTGCAATTGCTGATTACCCTGAACAGATCTCTGATAAACAACTGTTGGCAACTTGGAAAAGGGTGAATATCAGTTCCATTTGTGAATATTTTTCAAATCAGAATTTCTAAGTACATTTTTAATGAAAAATCAAATTAACCTATTTTTAAAAATAAATTTGCAGTAGTTTCTTTGTAACAAATGAATTATAATAAAATGTGTTTAGCAATATCCAAACTATACCTATTTTTACCAAAAGATGCAGTATTTCACCATTGTTTTAGGTTTTTTCCCCTGTTGACTGGGTAGCTTCAAACATTTCTATGTTTATTATGTTACACTGACATGTATTTTCATTTTTCTTAATTTTTATTTTAGGTAATCCAGATTCATGGTGGTACAGTTGATCCTACACTTACAAGCCGATGTACACATCTTCTTTGTGAAAGTCAACTTAGTAATATGTATGCACAGGTATGACAGAACACCATATATCTTTTCTAATTAAGGTAAAAGTCTGATAACTCTTTCTAGGTTTTTAAAATATAGTTTGTATAGTTTTTATTATCAGTAGCAGAAAGTATATCCAATTAATATGTAACACTCCAAACATGAAATCTTGAAGTTTGAAGTTTAATGTACTGCCCTTTTCTTCCAGAAAGTTTAACTACCATAGGAAGTTGTTCATTGGCTCAAAAACAAAACAGTAAGGGTCTCATTGGTTCAAGAGCAAAACAAACAAAATTAAAGTAAACCCGAATTAAATCTAGGATTTTTTTCTGCTGCTTCGGTTAATATTTGATGTCTGTCAATGTTAGGGAAAAAATGTGGCTTGAATTACTGGCTAGTCATGTGCGATTACTGTGTGGTCCCCACTTTGAAATGTGTGGCAGAGAGAACTTTACTTTGTTTGCTGGTTGTTCCAAAATCTCCTCCAGTCTCCTCCTGCACATGTTTCAGGCTTGCAGCTTTACTGGTAACTCTGTTATGCTGACTCTGGAGGGAAGGCTTAAATATGAAGGGAATAAGGCAGGATATGTCCCTGCAATTTTTCTAAGCAACATTCTTTTCCATGTTGTTGTTAGTTTTAAAGTCGTGTCAGACCCATTGCGACCCCATGGACAACGTTCCTCCAGGCCTTCCATGCTTTTCCATAGTGCATGGGAATCAGTTTGGTCTAGAGTTAAGGTACCAGGCTAAAAACTAGGAGACCATGAAAATGAAATTCAATGGTGAAAAAAGTAAGGTTCTACACAGGGCCGGATTTAGATGAAAAGAGGCCCTAGGCTATTCCACTTATGAGGCCCTTTCACCTATAGTGAAAGTGTAATTTTAATTTTGCTAACAATTTGAATGTAGGGAATGTAGGCCCCTCTTGATCTTGAGGCCCTAGGCTGAAGCCTAGTTAGCCTATAGGAAAATCCGGCCCTGGTTCTACATTTAGGCAAGAAAAACAAAATGCACAGGTACAGTATATGTGGTACCTTACTCAACAGTAATAACTGAGAGGGATCTTGGAGTCCTAGAGGACAACCATTTAAATATGAGCCAACAGTGTGCTGCAGATGCCAAAAAAGCCAACACAATCCTAGGCTTCATTAACATTAAAATGTGGTAAATTAAAACGTATAGTAACAATGTTCTGCTGCACATGTGAATATTATAGGCTTTGAAAGAAAGGAAAAGATGCATCACTGCCCACTGGCTGAATACTGTGCTAAAAAAGAAGAAAATGGTACCACCACATCGAGCTCTTCATTTTCCCGTAGCATTTCCACCTGGAGGAAAACCATGTTCTCAGCACGTAAGGAAGCTTAATCTTAAATTTTTGTTTTGAAATTACTGCTGTTATTATTTAGAGTTCAAAAATGAGTAAATACATAATGCTCCATTTTTAGAAAAACTAACACAGTTAGACAATACAATCTTGCAGGTTTGCCTCCTACGGTTCTCCCACTACTATTCACAGCTTTAAAACTGAAAATGTCCTTCCCCAGAAGTCAGAAATCTGCCTGAAAAATGGCAGTTCTGGAGGATTTGAGAACCGTTGGGTGGTTAAGAGATGGTGTGGGACCGCTATTAATATTTAGGGGAATGCTAAAATTTGGCCATTTTCAATCATTAATATGCTGGACCCAAGTAATAACTGCAGCTAATCCTTGCTTAGGAATGGTAATTGGGACTGGGAATTCCCATCATTAACTGACATTATTAAACTCAGTGTCACATGATTGCAGTGATTTATACCAACAAGTGTGACCCTCCCAGGTGCTATTGTTAGGTCAACCCCATGTGATTGCAGCATCCCATGGTCACAGAATTGCCATTTGTGACCTCCTGCGAGCTTTCCCATTGACTTTGCTTGTCAGAATCTGGCCGTGACGGTGGAAAATGCCATCACGTGGTTGTGGAACACTCCAGCCATTATAATTGTGAATTGGTTGCCAAGTCCCTGAATCACAACCATGTACCCACAGAGATGCTTCGATGGTCACAGTTTATAAGAATGCATAGTAACTGCATTTAGCATTGTCACTTTTCTTTGTAAATTGTACAAAGAAATGTTACATTGTAACATTCTTTGTAAATGAGTGGTGGTTCAACCAGGACTACCTGCACCATGTTGCATTTCATTTGGAAACAAATTGCCAGTCAGCTTTAGTGCTTTTAGCATTGATACAGTGTGGTCTCTTTAACTTCTGTATTTTGTCCTAGTGAACTTTCTTTACTAATTGTAAAGGCAATGTGAAGCATGTTGACAGTATTTACCCACTGGAACCCAAACCTTATTGTAATTTTCTTCCAGAGGGGATAGAATTAGAGAATCAGAGCTATTAAAAGGTACTCCTGCTGTTGTCTCAATCCAGGAAACCAGAGGGAGATTTCAAATCAGAAGGGCCCTCAGACTTTCTTTTTTTTTGTGGAGTGTGAGCCCAGTCTCCTAGTCTTGGGATAATAGCTTAGTCATTCCTCTTCCCACCATCTGTTTTTCAGGTGTGTCTGGACTGACTTCATACTCCTAAATCCAATGCATGAGAGAAAAAGGGGTCTTGCCCCCCTGTATTTTGACTTAATGACAGCAAAGGGAAAAGTCTGGTTGTCTCTCTGCCTTGAATCTTCTGCAAGAGATAAGGCAACCATCTAGCCCTGTAGCACGGAGGCATAGAGGTTTAACCTTTCTTCTCATCTTTTGGAGTTAACTCACTAAGACAGACTTCCTGTTAAAGAAGATTGTATTGTAGGGTTTGTATTCTAGCCCATGTAGAGGAAATCTGGAACATGAATCTATTCTGGGAGTTGCTATTGCATCTTGTTTTGAGAAATACTGAATTAGTTAAAGGTTAACGTCACTTAAAGAAAAATAAAATAACCAACGTATTTACAGTTGTTTCATTTGTTTCTGTCCAGATAATTGCTGTAACAGGTTTTGTGGATGGTGACAGAGTCGATCTCAAGTTGATGGCCTACGTAGCAGGAGCAAAATACACAGGCTATCTTTGTCGCAGTAACACCATTCTTATCTGTAAAGCGTAAGTGCTGTTTGGAATAATAATGTGGATAACACTGAATGGGTCCAATTTTATGTCTGCTTTTCTAACAGCCGTTTTTCAGAATAAAAGCATTTAGTTTTCCTGGCTGTGTTATGCTGTTATATTAAAAATGTTGAAGTACATTCTTCTTCATTTACAATGTTAAGTTTTGCTGTCTATTTTTATTCTATAAAAACAAGCATTGAAGCCCTCAAAATTGTATGTTCCAATTGTTTAAGAAGGTCCAAAATCATTTTTTATTTTCATAAAAAATGATATAAATACTATGGAATTTATAATAAGTACTATTTGATGTAAAATTTAACAAATTAGCAATATTGACAGTCTTCCACACGCTGAATGTTTACTGAAAGCTGCATGGTTTGAGAATTTGGGGGATGCAGTCCTAATACATTTGGAAAACATCATCTTGGGAAAAGCTGTTCTGACTTACTTCCTGTCATTGACTTTTTTGTTTATTTCAAGGCCAACTGGTGTAAAGTATGAAAAGGCCAAAGAGTGGAGGATACCTTGCGTTAATGTACAATGGCTCTGTGATATCTTACTTGGAAATTTTGAAGCTTTGCGGCAAATGCAGCACAATCGATACACAGTTTTCAGTCTTCAAGAACCCTTTGCTCCTAATCAGCATCTAGTTCCAAATCTTCTTGGTAAGAAGATTTGCAAAACTTTACAAACATTGCATTTCAGTGCAAAATAATAATTTGTTGTATCTTTTGGACATTCCATTATATGCACTATGTGTGTGCTCCTTTTGATAATACAAACTAAGCATGTTGACAAAAATAAGGATCTTAAAGTTTAATGAGATTTATTTGTAATATGCATAAAAATAAAAATAATTTTAAAACTAAATTAACCATTGATTGTCTTTAGTTTCAAAGTTTATTTTTTTAAGTATAGATCTTTCTTTTTAGAGCAGGTGATAAAGTAATATTTGATTAGTTATGCTAACATTAATCTGTAAACTGAATAAATAAAACCTTTTAAATAATTTCTTAGATACAAATAAACATCATGTCCATCTGAAGAAAAAAAAAATTCTAGTCTAGCAATATTTTATTTCATAGGCATTTCATTTTTCAGTTCTTTCTGCAGAAGTATAGCCTAGCCAAAAGAAGAAGAAATGGAAGATTCAGTTCAAAGGGAACATTTCATGAAACATCTTTTAATATGAATTGTATCTTACAACAGCATCATCTAGTTCTATAGATGATTATTAATGGGAAATCTGACTTAAAGCAGAGTTTTAAATGTAGTCTTTTTTTCTGTGATGTAATTAATTGCTCTGAGTTGTCTTTATCAACTTAATCTGTCAATTAATCCGTTAATTTCTTCCTTTAGTTTAAGGGAGAGGGAGAAATGATAAGAAAAACTACATGAAACCACATTATATTCATCCAACCTAGGCCAATTGCATCATGTTTGAATGTTCTGTGGGCTTTTATTGTATGTCTTAATTGGCTAAAAATAATGGATATACCTAACGGATATTGACCCAAGTACTGGAGCATTCCAGAAACCATGCCTTGGTGTAAGAGTTTCTTGTTCTTTCTGTTCATTAATTCCAGATGCTTGGAGGGTGCCTTTAAAGGTGTCACCTGAACTTCAAATGGTACGTAGTGTTGCTTTAAACATCTTTACGTGTGGGAACAGAAAAAAGAACACATGTGGAAAAAGCGAAGAGATCCTGGATTATAAAATACTTACACTGTTTAAAATGTTTTGTATTACTCTTTAGTTAAATTTTCTCAGATGCTATACCTGATGATTACATTTCTTTCCTTCCTTGGAAATCAAATGCAGTGTCTGTTTTATTTGCCCAATTGACCAGGAATTTCCAGTTTGTTTATGATCACTAATTGGGACAAAAACACTCCCAGTAGGAAGGGGTTTCGATAAAGTGCCAGGCTCAAGTGCTTGCTGCTTTCTTTTATAGGAAGATGAATAAACCTGAATTTAGTTTCACTCAATCAGAACACTATTTATTGCTTGCAGAGCTCTAACGAATTGTTCAGTCGGGGGGGGGGAGCAGTCTTATCCAGTTCCTGAATTCTGTTGTACACTCTTTTGCATTAATGTTGCACCCCCATTTAAATCTATGATTCTCTTAGCATGAAATTCAGTTCTGCTTTATTCTTCCTCCTACACAATGATGAAGAGGGAGAAAATCCAGGGATGGTTTTCTGAGGAGGAGGAAAAGGGATGCCAGTATCAGTTTCTCCTGAAATGAGGTGTTGACCGGTCATCTCCCAATGTGGTCTGTTACATGCTCTCAGTCTTAAGAGGAATGTGTGTCCAGTTTACAAGTGGTTAGGAATAAAGGAGAATCCTGTCCAAGACTACAGGGCATAAAATGTTCCAAATAACAGGACAAGATTCAAGCCCAGTAACCACATCAGACTCACCCAGGAGGAATTGGCAACTTCGTCAACAAAGTGCTGTGCAAATTAGTTGCAACAATCAAATGGGCAATCTAAGATCTAATTCACTCCCAAGAAGTGAATTGCTCACTCTGAACAAGGCCAACAGCTGATAGCCTATAGCACAGTTTGGGAGAACAACTACACTTTACGTTGCCTCTCGCTACTATAGTGTAGTTTTGAAGTTATATTTGTGCTTGGTCAGAATCCCTTTTGGTCTTCCTGCACCATTGCTCCAAGCATTACTTCTGCAACTACGTCTCCCAGAGCTCAGCAAACCAGGAAGATACCATGGATCTCCCAGTATAGAGCCATCACATTAGGTGTCCCATGTCATCTTATCTTCCCAGTTGCTTGAGCTCAGCATTTCGCATAGGTGTATTTCTACTTGTGCGTATAATACCAGATCCTGAACTTGCAATATATATGAAGGTGGGTCTCTGTGTTCTTCATGTCTTGGGGGCTTGACTTCCCTACTATGAATATTTTAGGTGCTTATGTAATAATTGATGAACTAAGCTAGATAGCATACTTTAAATAAAATTGTTTGGAAACCATCACAAAAGATTTAAGTACATAATCCATGTATCTTTTTCTACGGCAGCATTATGACTAAATATAGTTGTTTTCCTGGAATGTAATTTTATGAGTTGGCAGGGGGAGGGTTGCTCTGTACACTTACATGATTTTAATACAATGTATGTTTTTATATATATTTAAAGATATTGGTACAAAACTCTAAATAGTGCTTAAGAAACCCAAATGTATACCTTGTCTAATTGTAGAACGTGAGATTACCACTTAAACCAAAGCAGAATGAACCAGTAATTCAACCTTCAATCAAGAGGCCAAGGTAAGAAAATGACAATGCTAAGCAATTCAATATTTCCTTGGAAATGGTCTTGACACTGAAATGAAATTATTTTTAGATTTTAAACATCATACATTTTTGAATTGCACATATCTGAAAAAAAGTATAACCATGGGGACAAATCAAGGAGCAAACATTTGGAAGTGAGAGACATGTCAAAGGAATATGAAACATCACAGCAAAAGTAGATATGCCCCTTTTATTTCATAATCTACTAAATGAAAAAAGAATTCTTTAATTTAGACATTTAGCATTGCAGAGCACTATATGCTGTTGTCCTAATTTTGTATTTAGGAAATAATTATTAAGTTACTTGATTTAAAAAGTTAAAAATAACATTAAGTTAATTTTATATTTCTAGAATTGAAGACTTGCCAACACCTACAAAAAAACTGCCACCAGAATTGGCACCAGTGGTTCTTTTTACAGGATTTGAGCCTGGTCAAGTACATCAGTACATAAAGGTAAATTCCTTCTTGAATTAAAAGATTTCATATGACTTTAGGGTTGATTTTACAGTGTGTTGGTTATCTCTACTGACAAATTGAATGTGTGACTGGATCATGCCATGTATCAAAACATCACTTTGTAATAATTGCGCATTGTTTTTCAAAAGTATTTTTTCATGTACATGGTTGTCCATTGAGTATATAATCACAATTCATCCTCTAGTCTATTGTCCTATGGCCTATGACTAAAAGTTTTAAAACTTTGGTTTTTTCCCTTTTTTCTTCCATTTTTAGAAAGTATATGTTCTTGGAGGTGACATAGCCGAGTCTGCTCAGAAGTGTACCCATGTGATAGCTAGTAAAGTAACCCGCACTGTAAAATTCCTGACAGCAGTTTCAGTTGCAAAACATATTGTAACACCGGAATGGTTGGAAGAATGTTTCAAATGTCAGAAATTTATAGGTTAGTAAATGGCCATGTTGAACAAAGTAAGAGTTTTTTTTTTGTTTTTGTTTTTTGTTTTTTGTTTGTTTGTTTTTTTTAAATTTGATTTATATGCCGCCCTTCTCCGGAGACTCAGGGCGGTTTACAATGCGTTAAGCAATAGCCTTCATACTTTTGTATATTTTATACAAAGTCAGCTTATTGCCCCCACAACTGGGTCCTCAATTTACCTACCTTAGAAAGGTTGGAAGGCTGAGTCAACTTGAGCCTTGGCGAGATTCGAACCTGCAGTAATTGCAGGCATCTGGTCTTAATAACCAGCTTAATAACAGGGTGCCTTAGACCACTGTACTACCAAGGCTCTTTGTATTGTGGAGTCCTTCCTTAAAATGTGACAGTGGAACTTTGATTGGAACTGGTGTCCTTTGGTTTACAAGTAAATTAACTTCACTGAAGTAATTAGAATAAATATTTTTCCTCTAAAATACTATTTTTATTATGCTTAACTAGAATAGAATAAACTGCTGCGTCATTTTGAAACTGGTCTCTTACAAATCAATTCATCCAAAAATCCATTTTTGACTCTACCTCTAACCCCTCTGTTTTAGTAGTCTAAAGAGTGTGATGTAATAGAAAAGCAGAGTTGGATCTTCTAATCCAACCCACTGCTCAAGCAGGAAACCCTATTTCACTTTAGACAAATAATTGCCCAATCTCTTCTTAAAACCTCCAGTGTTGGAGCATTCACACCGGAGACAAGTAATTCCACTGGTTAATTTTAACTGTCAGGAAATTTTTCCTTAGTTCTAGGTTGGATCTCTCCTTGATTAGTTTCCCTCCATTGCTTCTTGTCCTTCCTTCAGATGCTTTGGAGACTAGGTTGATTCCCTCTTCTTTGTCCTCCACCCCCTCCTCCCAATTCTTCATCTTCCATATGGTGCTTGGCTTATGTTCATTTGTCATTGAATGTTCAGAATTTGGCAGTGCTGAAAAAATGGATGTAGGACCAAACCTTGAAGTTCTGGCCATTGCAGCATTTCCATGGTCACACGATTACAATCAAGGCACTTGAGTGTCCTGTTTGCAGTTACAATATTGCAGTGAGCCACAGTCATGTATTTGCCATTTGTAACCTTTCCTGTCAGCTTCTCACAGGAAAAATTAGTGGCAAAGCTGGCAGGGAAGGTCCTAGGTTGCTCTGGTAAATTGACCCCAGGGATCTTGTACTCTGTAACATCCATCCACCTTCCATAGTGCCCGCCCACCCATAGCAGCCTCCCACTCAGCCACAGCTTCTGCCAGCTCATCTGCACTTTATAGCAATTGGCCGCATTTCCCCACTTCCTCCCGTAGCATCCCCCACTCTTCGCCTCTTAACAGTTAGCATGGTCCTGGGTTTATGAGGGCAACTCATACTGCCAAGATGGCCATCAGTGAGCAGTGTGACCAAGTGATGATGCATTTCATGATGCTCTGCTTAGTGAAGGTACTCCTAGTCCCAATTGGGATCCTAACCCAAGAACTTCCTGTATTGCAGTTTTTACATGCATTCTTTAAAGGCATTAATGCAGCTTTAATAAGTCAATCCAATGGGTGATCTTCCACTCTATAAACTTAGTGAACATTAATGAGGTATTTAAAACTTTTGACTGCTAGTTGTAAGGTGACTTTTAAGCATCTCAAACTTTCTCAAGATAATTCTTAAGAATGAGTAAATGCTTTCACCATCTTGTGTTTTGAAAAATTAAAGTTATGTCTCCCCCTTACGCCTTTTTATAGACGAACAAAGCTACATGCTCCGAGATGCAGAGGCTGAAGTCCTTTTCTGTTTCAGTTTGGAAGAATCTCTAAAGAGAGCGCATGCGGCACCACTCTTTAAGGTACAGTTCTGTTTGTTTAGTGAGAGCTACAGATTCATATATTGTCACATATTGGAGGGTAAGATCAGCAATATAGTTTACAGAAACAAAAGAACAGATTTTTAAGGATAATTCCAGGGGAGAAATCCATTCAAGTCATTCAATCTAAAAAAAAAAAAAAAAAACAACCCACAGGAAGCTAACCTGAGAGAAATTGGGAACCAGGAAAAAAGTTGGGAAGGAAATGGAATTTAATGTCTTGAGCAGGATACCATTTGCTTCAAAAGTGAATCTACATATATCTAATAACACAAATAACTAATAGACCAAAATTAGTTGGAATTCATGTTTTTAGTTTCTAAAAACTGTGGATTAGAACTGCATTAGTGTTACCAATAAAAGAAAATATTTGTAGCATGAAATGAGGGGTCCTCAGTGCTCTCTGAGCTTGTTTCCTTTCTTGCAGATGTTTCATTACCCAAACTAGGTAACATCATCAGTGCTGGTAAGGAGTTTGCTGTCAGTTTATAGTCTGGTGTCTTCCTAGTCTGTGGGTCTGGGCGTATTAGAGACTGGGTTGGGTTGTTTATTGATGGCGCTTTGGCAGTTTCTTGATTGTTGGTCTGAAATTAACCTTGGAAACTTTTTCTCTTTTGCATAGTCTGTAGATGTTGTTCATGTCTATGTGTCTATTGATGGCTGATTTGTCAGAGTGACAGGCTTCTAGAAATTCCCTGGCATTTTTGGACTTGGCCTGGTCTAGGGTTGTTATATTTTCCTAATTGAAACTATGGTTAAATCTGTCTACATATTGTGAAATTAAAGAATTTTCATCATGTCTTCTGACTGCCAGTTGGTGTTAATGGATGCGTTCAACCAGTCTTCTGCTAGTTTGTCCTACGTAGTAGTTGTTGCAGTTGTTACACTGTATGTTGTAGATGATTCCTGTTTTTTCTTCTGGGGTTGCTTGGTCTTCTGGTTTGCTTAGGATGTTTTGAAGGGCTTTAATTGGCTTGTGTGCTATGCTAATTCCATGTGGTTATAGGAGTCTACTTGTGGTTTCTAAGATATTATTTATGTATGGCAGTGCAATTCCTTTTATGGTTTGTGTAGGCTGTGCTGTATTGGGTTGAGTGGTCAGGGACTTTTTGATAATTGCATATTGGAATGTGTTGTATAGACGCTCCATTTCCTTTTTCTGCTATTCTGCGTTGCTGCAGTGTGTTTAAACGAGTCTGTTTAATAAACAGCCTAACCAAAGAATCTCTAAGATTGCCGGCTCCCACACAGGCAGGCAAGTCACCAGAATATAAACTGACAACAAACAGCACCCCTTAGTAGCAGCTAGTTAGGATAATGAAACATTTGCAAGAAAACAAGCAAGCACCAAGGACCTCTCATTTCAATCCTGAGCTAGAAATGTTGTCCGTTATTGATTAATTCTGTTTACCAGCCAGTCACAAGTCACTATCTTAGTTTGACATATGTGACATGACTATTGTGCTTAGGAAGTGGAATCAATGACTTCTCTAGAAAAATTCTATAGGCACAGTTAATTTCAGAAAAAATCTATATTACAGTTTTATATATTATGTATGGTAGTTTTATATGTTGACTCTTGGTGGCAGTGTGAATTCTTAGTTTAAAGTTTATGATGGAGAATTAACTGAAAACAAGACCTACTAGGAAATTGCTTGTATAAGCAACTTCTAATATGTTGTGACATTTATAGAACGTAATGTAATGTAATAAGAAAGGAAAAATATATCTGTTTGGGCTAGTCACTCAGTCTGTTCCCAACTTCCCTCACAGCGAAGGGTGTTTTAGAGGAGAATGATCCCTTGTAAACCTCATAAATTTCTGGAGGAAAGAGTGAGATATAAACCAAACAATTTCAAATAAATAGACCAATTGTACTTTATGTACTAAAACCAGCTATCTGCCTGAAATGTTCCCTGTTTTTCAGAAGCAAAGTGAGAGAACAAGTTTCATTCTAGAGCACAAGATTCATTTAGAGTTTCCACAAAATAGTGAACAGAGAAGTCATTATTACAAATTTTCTAGAATGTTAAAGTGTAAAAGATGCATTATTTTCTGCTTGGCAAAAAAGTTACAAGCATTACGCCCCCATATAGATACCCACACACACAGAAAAAAAATAAAAACTAACACAAACTATTATAGAATAAGGAAGAAAAAATAGAAAGAAATTAAAGAGAAAGCTAAAAGCGGAAAGAAGAAAGTCAAAATAGAAGAAAAAAGGTATTAAAAATGACTTCTGATCTTTATCATAGTTATAAGTACAATTCTAAATTTATCACTTCATCTCTTCTTTCTATAATCTATGCTATCTGGTCTTCAAAATCATAAATCATAAGTTCAACTTTTTCTGTTTTTTGCAAAAGTCCACATGGGTCAGGAATAAATGTAGATATTGTCTTTTCTGTGAGTTCAGTTTTGTTCCTTGTGTACCCTCAATAATGTTTTTTTCTTGCCATAATGTTCCTATATTTGGGGCTTGGGGCACATGTCCATTCAGAGAATGCCGAGAATCATTCTCTTGCTTGGTTCTTTCAGCCACGTCTGTCCTGATCTTAGCTGGGGCAATGCCAGCGAGAGGATACATTTTCTCAATTGGTGTAGGTTTGAGACCACCTGTCACTATGTGTACTGTTTCATTGAAGGCTACATCAACTTGTTTTGCGTATGCAGAGAAGCGCCACATTGGAGCAGCATACTCTGCTGCAGAGATGCTCAAAACTGATGTGTGCAATGTAGATGGTTGCATTACCCACTTATAGCTTATCAATTTCCTGATGATACTGTTCCTCGAGCAGATTTAGCCTTAGTGTTCAGGCAATGCTGTTTAAAAGAGAGCGTCTGTCAGGTGTCACAGATATTTTGGTGTTGGACAGAGCTATAGTCTGTTCCCTTGCCCCATAGCATCCAGATCTTCCCTTGCATCTTGATTTCGGAGGTGGAAAGCAATACTTGGGTCTTGTTTGGGTTGGGCTTTAAATTGTTGATGGTGTAATATCATCCTAATTCTTCAAGTGCTACCATACGTTTCCCAGCTATCTCATCAAAAGTTGATTCTGATAAATCCAGTGCTATATCATCTGCATAGATGAATAGACATTTATTGTAGGGGATTGGTTGATCGTTTGTATATATTATACAATGTTGGAGACAATACACTACCTTGTGGCAGCCCATTCTTATGCATCCTCCATCTATGGTCACATAAAATCACAATTTTCCATGATCAAACAAGTTCATAAATACATTTTCTAAGACAAAAAACATATTTTTTACAAAGACTTTTGTGCCTGTAAACGTCCCTCAAAAAAAGTAGAAACAAATAAATACTTTTAAATACATACATAGAAATGGGTAAAAAGTAAATGTGCTTTGAACTTTTCTTATTTTAGGGGAAATATTTCTATATTACTCCTGGAATTTGTCCTAGCCTATATACTATGAAATCGATTGTGGAGTCGGCAGGTGGCAAGTTATTATCTAAACAACCTTCTTTCAGAACAGTTATGGAACACAAACAAAATAAGGTGGGTGTTATCTCTATTTTTTTAATGGAATATTTAACTGTAAGCTATATCAACTAATTCAGTTCTTTTTTTTTTTTAAATGTAGAGCTTGTCAGAAATTATCCTTATCGCTTGTGAAAATGATCTACACTTATGTCGAGAATACTTTACCAGGAACATAGGTAAGTGCTTAATATCCTTATACTTACATGTTTAAACATGCAGTTTGATAATAATATATATGTATTTTGTGATTTATTTATGTATTGCATTTTGACTCATCATGCTCCCCCAGACTCCAGAGCTTCACCATAATACAAATGCTAAAACTGTGCATAGGATTTTCTTGCGGTTGGTTCTGTTTTGTTGTTTGTTTATTAAACTTGCAAAACAGCGGTGTAACATGGGCCACTTACGGGACCCAAGAATTGCCTGCACAGCTGCATTCTGCAATGGCTGAAGCTTCTGATACTCTTCAAGGGCAGCCCCATGTAGAGTACATTGTAGTAGTCCAGCCATGTGATAACTGAGCACAGGGACTCCCAATCCAGGAAAGGGTGCAACTGGCGCACAACACAAAGGCCCTCCTAGACATGACCACCTGCTCATTGAAGAGGAGTTGCAAATCCAGGAGAACCGCCAGATTATGCACTGGGTCTGTCTGTAATAAAGCAAATCCCATCCAGAACTAAATATGTTAAATCCTGGAGCTGAAGCTCTAATGCACCTAAAGCCGCTTAGTCTTACCAGGGTTGAGCTGATGTCTGGAAAAAGTTCAGAGAAGAGCAACTGAGATGATCAAAGGTCTAGAGACTAAAACATGAACGGCTGCAGGATTTGGGTTTGGCTAGTCTGAAGAAAAGAAGAATTAGGGGTGACATGATAGCAGTATTCTGGTATTTGAAGGGCTGCCACAAAAAAAATAGGGGTTCAAAGTATTTTCCAAAGCACTAGAGGGCAGGACAAGAAACAATGGTTGGAAACTAACCAAAGAGAGAAGCAACCTGGAATTAAGGAGAAACTTCCTAACAGTGAGGACAATTAATCAGTGGAATAGCTTGCCTTCAGAAATTATGGGCACTCCATTACTGGAAGTTTTTAAGAAGAGACTAGACAGCCACTTATCTGAAATAGTATAGGATCTCCTGTTGAGCAGGAGGCTGGACTAGAAGTCCTCCAGGGTCCCCTCCATCTCTGTTTTGTTCTCTCCCTCCACACCCTCTCAGCCTCAAGACACTGCTTGGATCACCTGGGATGGAGATGGAAATTTGAATATCATCAGCAAACTGTTTGTACCTCACCTCATGATGACAAAAGATCTCATCCAGGGGCTTCATGTAGATGTTGAAAAGGAGTGGAGAGAGTACCAAGCCCTGTGGACTGGATCTCTCACTCCCTATCAACACCGATTTGGAGTGGCCTTGGAGGAAGGAGCCAAATTAGTGAAAATTGCGCAGCCCAACCCCAAACCCCACAGCTGGCCTCAAAGGATACTATGGTCAATGGTATCAAAAATCATTAAGAGGTCAAGGAGAGCAATGATGAATGTAGTATCCCCATCCCACTCTCACCAAAGATCATTTGTAAGTATGGCAATGCTTTTCCTGCCCCATAACCAGGCCCGAAACCTAACTGGAAGAGATCGAGATAATTCGTTTCATCCTGGACTCTGAAGCTGCCAAGCATTCACCTTTTCTACCACCTTCCCCAAAAGGGAGAATGGGAAACCATACGAAAATTGTCCAGACAGGTAGAATCAATCAATGATTTTTTATTTTTTATTTTTTTTGAGGAATGGGCAAACCAGTACCTCTTTAAAAGGTCCTGGAAATGTGCCGTCCTTTATCATTGCCTGAACTTACTCGGCTGTCACTGTTCTGGAGGCTTTCACCAACCAGGAGGGACAGGGATCTTATTGGCAGGTGGTTGTACTGATAGCATTGAGGAATGTGTCCACTTCTTCATGTTCAACAGGATCGAGTTGTTCCCAGATAAATCGTGTAAGATCTTTCCTCAGGCATCTCACATGGAGCTGCACCACATGTAGGTTCCAACTGGGAATGAATCTGAGCGATCTGTCCATCAAGTGTTCCACAAATTCCTCTACGTGACTCTGAAGATGATCACCTGAGCCTTCATGTTCCAGGAAGGACCAGGTGATCCCGAACAGGGCCACTGAATGACACTGTATGGGACACAATAAGGGCTGATAAATAATAGTGTTTTGCTGTTGTTACTGCCAAGAGGTAGGCCTTAATAGCAGCTGTAAATTGTGTCTCGTTGGCTTCATTCCTCTTTTTTCTCCAGCGATGCTCAAAGCTTTATTATCCTTTTCAGAACCTTGCATCCTCTCCTCCTTGTGAATCACAGGGAATGTGTGGTCATGAGAAGCTACACAGGCACAATTCTGTCCCAAGCCTCAGCTGCCCTTTGGTTTTAGGACATGACCAGAGCTTCTGCAGGAGCATGCAACAAATTTTGTTTGCTATTAATGTAAGCTGCCAGAGTCATTTTGGAGTCAGGCAGCATCTAAATTTCATAAATAAATAAAGGCATACTTAGTGGTTAGGATGTGGAAGGGAATATATTGCTTATCACATAGTTTTTAATTTTTTTACAGTTGCCCCAAGCCACATACTACTTCATGAATTTACATGAATCTGCTTTTAATTTGTCTTATTTATTTTCAGAAGCTGTTTCAGTATAAATACAACATCTAAATATTGATGCAATAATCAATATTAACAGCCAAAACATATTTACAAAATGGATTAGATAATAATTGTGCCTTAATCTTTTTTTTAATATTACCTATTTATTTGTGTTTTATTTCAAGCCTGAATGCAGTTTCATTTGAACATTACAGTTGGCTGTGATCCAAAAGGACAATTTTGGGATAAATTGAATGTTCTGGCCATAAGAAACAGTCGATGCTTGGAACAATTTTGGTACTGCTATTTTTCATTTCAGAGCAGCAAGAATAGATAGGATTGGCAGCCTGCATAACAATTGACCATTGGGATTCTCATAGGAAAAAAAATTACAGTACATGCTGACAGTATTTCCATTTCCTTTTGCCACTATGGCAAATTCCTTCTGACCAGATAAAATACATGTAGTTCTAGACTTACAACCATTCATTTAGTGACTGTTCTAAATAACAGTGGAACTGGGAAAAATAACTTACAACCATTTTCACATTCAGAAATGTTGCAGCATCCCCATGGTCATGTGATCAAAATTTGGACGCTTGGCAACTGACTCATATTTATGATGGTTGCAGGGTCCCTGGGGCCATATCATCACTTTTGCGACCTTCTGACAAGCAAAATCTATTGGGAAGCAAGATTCATCTATGTTACTAATTTAGCTGCAGTGATTCACTTAACAGCTGTTGCAAGAAATGATGTAAAATGGGAGTTAAGGTTCCGGGGGGGGAGTTAGTCCGAGGATAAGTAGGTTAATCTAGTTTATGATTGTTAAATGAAATACCTTGTATTTTGCTCTGGGAAGTCTGGGGGGGGAGGGAGGGATGAGGGGAGGGAAAGGGTGGGGGGAATATGGGGGGGAAGGAAAAATTTTGTTTTTTGTAAAACTTTTCAATAAAAAAAAAAGAAAGAAATGATGTAAAATGGAGCAAAGCTCACTAAACTATCTTGCTCAGTCATGGAAATTTTGGGCTCAGTTGTGCTTGTAAGTCAGGAACCATATTCTATTTTTGTGCATTCTGTAATGAAATATATTTTTTCTATTTTTTGTCATTTTCATATTCTCAAAATGTTGCGAATTACTTATAAAATAACAGGAATGTTCAATTATATTTTCTTGGCACTTTTAATAATTAGAAATAACAAACATTTTTGAATATTGAATATGATTACCATTAATAAATTTATATGCTGCCTGATTCCCAGCAACTCTAGACCAGGGGTGGGTTCTACTTACCATTACTACCGGTTTGCAATGGCAGTGCATGCTTCTGCGCATGCGCAGATTGTACCTTATGACGTCCGGGTGGGTGGGCGGAGCTTCCCACTGCTTTTACTACTGATTCGCAAGAACCGGACAGAACCAGGAGCAACCCACCACTGCTCTAGACAGTTACTGAATTTATCAAATGTAGGAAGTGCTATTTTGTTCCAAGTTGAGTTTAAGTTAAGTTTATTGTCATTGCACCTCATACAACGAAATTAAATGCCATTACACATATTAGTGTGAAAGAGATGGATTGGTGTAACAGAATAGAAAATAAAAAGTTGAAATGAGTTGCCAAACATGCTGTCATTGACAATTATGTGAAAGTTTAACAGCCGCCTGTTTAAAACCTACTGTTAGGAAAGGCTAACACTATTATTAGTCATTAAATGTAATTATTATCGCTATTAATGGACAGGTTTCTTAGCTATTTAAAAGTGCAATCTGCACATTTTTGTCAATAAAAGCTAACATTTAATTTTTATTATGTTTGTGGATTCCGAAAGAGTATTCCATATTTTCAGTAAGATACCCCTGCAAGCAACCTCTGGAAACAATGTTTTTTAAATGTTTGTCAGGATGACTTCTTATAAGCAGCAGTGTCCAAACAGTAGTGTCCCTTCCTGTTTCTTTTCTTAAACTTTCGTTCATCCCATCTCGTTTTGTTGTCGCTGGTAAAGATATCTTCCATTATGCCATCCAGTAAGATATTAAAATAGTTTGAATAGGAAAAGACATTTGACTTTTGTGCCAGGTCATTTTATGACTTGAAACCAAGAGAATTATTGGGTGTGGTATATTTATTTCTTAGCTAAGGCACTGCTTGGGTGCATTTGGCAGATGCCCGGGATATGACTTGCCACTGATTTAATCTGGTCAAATGCACCATCTGCCTTTTAGCCATCTTTTATTGGGATCCAGCTGCTAGGTTTCCCTAACTGATTAAACTAGTATATTAATATCCTTCATATTTGTATGTTCTTTTGATATTTTGCAGATGTCCACAGTGCAGAATTTGTTCTGACTGGAGTCCTTACTCAAACACTGGATTATGATTCATATCCTTTTGTATGCTACCTCCCTCTTTAAATATTACACTGATTTCTGCAAGAGCACCGAGCTCAATGAAATAGGCTTGGTTTTCGGTGGTTGTCATAATGGATATTGTGTAAAATAGTTATATGCAGACTGGAAATTATAATGCATTATAGGTAATCCTTGAGATACGACCATAATGGAGCCTGCCATTAGGATCTCATACTACAATGACCATTAAGCAAAATCACTCCATCCCAGCTCTCCCTGATGCAGCTGTTAAATGAATGTGCAGGTCATTAAGTGGGGCACAGAATCCTCCCTCCTCCAAGGGAGGAGATCCTTGGGAGTCTAGCACCAGACCAGGTCCACCTGTCCGATTCCTCCTATTTTTTTTCCCCATAATAATAATCCTGTGAGGTGGGTTGGGCTGAGAGAGACTGACTGGCCCAAAATCACCCAGGCGTTTTCATGCCTAAGGCAGGAATAGAACTCACTATCTCTTGTTGATTGGCTCAAAGACATCCTGCCAACTTTGATGGCTAAAGCAGGACTAGAATTTACAGTCTCCTGGTTTCTAATCTGGTGTCTTAACCACTACACCAAACTGGTTTATGCTATCACATAACATAATGGCATATGTGATGAAGCATAAAATGATGATATGGCATGGTGATGTCATGAGACAAATACTGAAATTATGTACTTCTATCATAAGTTGATGTTGCCAGAAATACCATATTTTTCGGAGTATAAGATGCTCCGGACTATATGATGCACCTACCTTTTTTGGGGAGGAAAACAAGAAAAAAAATCTGCCTCTGCCTCCCAGCAATTTGCCTCCTTGCAGCAAACAGTAAACAGCGGAGACTGAAAATGGGGTGTGCGGAGGCAGCAATAGGCAATGGCAATCCCTGCAGCCTGAAACAGCTGATGGTTGGGAGGCCGATCCAATCGACAATCAGCTGCTTGTGCTAATCAGGCTGTGCTGAAGCTGAAACTGGCTGTTTGCTGTTTCCTGCAAGGAGGCAAATTGCTGAGAGACAGAAGCCAAAGGGTGGGGGCTGGCGGGTGGGTGGGGCTACATTCTATAAGACCCACCCTCTTTTAGTGGGGGGGGGGAAGTGTGTCTTATACTCTGAAAAATATGCTAAGTTATTTGCCTCACTTGTCTCATGTAGCTGAGGCTTGATTAAACAAGTTGATTCATCTATATCTACGTATCTGTCATCTGTCTGTCTATATTATCTATTTTGGTTTTCCCTTAACCAAAACTACATATAAATTTACTTGACTCTAAGTAAAATGCCTTATTTTGCTTCAGATTTCTTGAAGCCTTCCTCTGAGCTTTTCCAGCCTGTGGATTATTTAATCAGGACTTCATTGAATTCTTGTTTTCTCTTGTTTTGCTGAAGAGCGAAGAACAGTTGAAGCAGGAAAGGAAAATTTTACTGCATCTGTTTAGGATGTGTCACCTTTTATTATTGAACTAACTATGTTTTTATACTATACTGTAGACCAGAGAGATTACTTTTTATATTGCAAAATAGTTTCCTGATTTTTTTTAAGTTTTAATAATCAGCAGTATTCAACCAAAATCATAATTAAAATGTAAAGGAAGAAGGGCTTGTGGCATGTTTAAATTAAGGAAGCAAATATTTTGTACTTATTTTATTATGCTGTTTTATTAATACTATCCCATGTTTTAAATAAACGTAGTTTTAAATGATGTTTCCTTAAAATTCAGTGGTTGTTTTTAATTTTTTAAATGTTGTGCAATTACAGCACTATCTGGTAAGAGTAAACACTCCGTTCTCTCAAGTGGTGTAGAATATTTATTTTACCAGTGTGTTTGAATATTAAAATCCGGGTATTTTAAGCAGAATTTATTAATGTTATGTGTGTTCCTGCTGCAGTTAGACTGAATTCACTCATATTCTACAGTGATATACTTTATTTGTAATTTTTATGGAATGAATATGCAAAATGGAATTCATAGAGGCAGTTATTTCATTCAAGTTTAATTGGTCTTAAAATGTTATTGTTAATCTATTGTTAATTTAATCCATTTAATTTTAAATTGGATATTCATCATTTTAGGAGTAATTCAAATGTAACTATTTCAGCAAGTTTGCATAAATTCCAGTTAGCTTGCAATTTTATTTAGTTCTAATGACTTTTGTTGAATAGATAAAATGTTAAAATCATTTCTGTGTGTTTGGTTTTCTTTTTAAAATACATTTTTCATGTTTGCAACTACGGTAACAATGAGTCTCTATTGACTATCTTTGAACTGGCAACAGATTTTCCATAGTTCTAAGAAGTTCGGTGCCTTGGGTTTAAAAGTATTTAAAAAGTCCTAGCAATTTACATAGGCTGAAATAATTGTATATTTCTGAATGTTGCTCTTAGAAAAGAGCCATGTATGGCAGCATGTCTCCACATAGAAAATCTACTAAAACATCTGGTGACTGGTTAAACCTGATAGGAATAATTTAACAATTTACCATCATTTACTGAAAACTGCTATGTAGTTTTGAAGATAGTGCATTAATTTCCACCAGTTAAGTTAGGTAACTTTTTTCATGCTGGAACCATACATGTTTTCAAGGAACTGAAAATGCCAAGTTACATCAGTGTCTTTGGTCACATGTGCTTTTTTTTAAAAAAAGCACACGTGTTTTGTTCAACAATTGTTGAACAATTACACGTAATTGTTCAGCCATAGCAGTTAAATGAATGGGGCTTTAAAAAGGTGGCAGGCTTTAAAACTCTTGTAGATTGAAATGAATTGGCAAACCCCGTTCACTCACCCCTCTTAAGATTGGCAGCTGATTTGCAAGCTAAAAATTAATTTTAGCTTCTTTTTTAAAAAAAATAAAATTCATTTTTAAATCATAACACTGATTATGTTTTGTCTCCTTGAAAGGAAACAGGACTGATATTTTCTGCTCACATGCATCAAAGATTCAATGGCTATGAGTTGTCATTATTACAGCTGGTTTGCTTTTCTGTTTTTTTCATCATCATCACCATTATTATGCCCAAATTGTGGGTGAGTATGTTGCATAGGCCAAGAAACCCTCTCTGCAGATGGGGATCCTGACCCAGTGTTTCATTCCTCTAGAAAGATGGGCCATGGCAGTGGTACCTAACCCATAACCAGAGGCAGAGCCTTCTTCCCAGGCAGAAGAGAGACAGCCTGCAGAGCCAAGCCTCCTCAATCACTTGCCAATATTGTATCCTTCCTCTGGTTTACACCACAAAAATATTTTTCCTTTTTGCTCACGCTGAAAAATCACCCAAACGAACCAGTTAGCCAAGAACTTCCCAGCAATCTTTGTCAAGTTCTGAAGCCAAAGAAGGACATCGTCTTGTCAGGAAGTTTTATGAAGGAATCTCTTCAGGGAGGAATGAAGGTGAAGCCTCCAGCCTTCTGACTGGAGAAGGAAAGAAAGGAGTAGGGCGAATCTACTATATTTTTTTAAGAAGGAGACAAGGGATTAGAAGCAGACAACAATAGACAATATGGTGGGGGAAGAAAAATAGGATGCTAGGAGGGAAGTTTAATTTGGGAATATTCATGCTCTGTTGGTGGCCCATTGCAGAGAGCCCATGTGCCTTTGCTGATGGCTTCCCATGGGCTAAAAGGTAGAATGTGGGATTACTGTCACACAGATTCAAAAGCAACCACTTACGAATCTTGGACAAACATGCTGACATTGTTGGTGTCATGCACTGTATACACAATTGGATAAGAGTAGGGTGGGATCTTGGTATTGCCCACCCACAGGATTTTCTGAGCTCAAGATTTTGGAGACAGCCAGAAATGCAGAGAAGCTGAACTCTTCCCTGGATGGGGGTCCCTTTGTGTGTGTATATCTGAACAATGATGTCCAGGAGGAATGGCGACTGTTGTCGTCCTGTCCTCCCCCATCAGTCTATCTTGGAGCTGGTCTCTTGGAAGATGTTTTGTGTACTCTTGAGGGTTACAGCACAACAGTGAATAGATCGGGATGAGAAAAGGAGAGATTTATTAATCTTTTTGGATTGCCCAATAAATTAAGTTCGGGGGGGACCCAAGAGAGGGATATATAACTTCTTAAATTGTGTTCTCATTAAAAGTAAAGATCTTAGAAAGCTCTCTTTACAATATATGAAAACCATTATCTAGCCCCATATTTTTGACAGTCATCAGAAGTGACTGCATGGTCTGAGTCAGGCTTAGAATGCAAGTTTCCTGGGTGAGGAATCTGCGCTGTTTTTATTCCTGTTCTTGTCATTTATAAAGTTTACAGGTAGTCCTTGACTTAGAAACATTTGTTTTATACAAATGTTGATCCCATGTTTAGAGACCGAAGTTACAATGGCACTGGAAAAAGCAACTTAACCATTTTTTCCATATGATTTGCAGCATTTCTGTGGTCACATGATCAAAATTTAGATAGTTGGCAATTGGCATGTATTCGGGGTAGTTACAGTGGCCTGGAGTTGTGTAATCACCTTTTGCAACCTTGTGACAAGCAAAGTCAATGGGGAAGCCTGATTCACTTAACTGTCTTACTAACTTAACTGCAGTGATCCACTTAAAAACTGTGGCAAGGAAAGTTGTAAAATGTGGCAAAAGTGACTTAACAATTGTCTTGTTTACCAATGGAAGTTTTGGGTTTAATTATGGTCATGTACTTTCTTTTAGCAGGACTCTGGGACATACCAATGGGCAACAGGACTATTTACTTAAAATCTATATTAATTAAATTCCTATCTGCAAAAATTTAAGGGTCCTCCTTTCATGATCCTGCCTGGTTACTTATATCAACTTTTGAAGGTCCTACTTGCTTCCAGGAACCAGACTCTCTATTGAGGTCATTTCCTCATCTGCCCCCTCCCCCAACTGTGAAAGACCCTTAATTTTACTTATACTGATTTTAAATTGAACTTTAATAGTCTTTTTTAATTTTTTATATTATAAGTGGCATTGCTTGAATGCCAGTAGACAAGGGGATAAAAATCCAGAAATAACAAATGATGCCATAGCAGTCCCAAAGGTGCTTTTTTTTCTGGAGGCAACTGGACTTCCTTGTTTTTTGTTTTTTGTTTTGAAGACATTTTGCTTCTCATCCAAGAAGCTTCTTCAGCTCTTGATAACATAGTGGGGGAATGGAAGGATTTATATTCCTTGCAGACAGCTGGTCATTTGCATCCTTTTGGAGGGTCATTGAAGCACTTGGAGATTTACCTGTGTCCTCAGGGTCACCTGAGTGGTGTTCCTGGTTCCTGCAGTCTGCAGTTTTCCCTCTGGAAATCCATTCCTACTCCCACATCATTCAAAGAGTGTTCATCCCAAATTGTGCGGCTAAACGTCTGTAGAGATTCTCAGTCATCCAGGTCCCATGGCTACTCCAAAGGTGCTTTTTCAGGAGGCAACTGGACTTTCTTGCAGACTACAGGAACCATTTGCACCACTCAGGTGACCCTGAGGACACAGATAAACCTCCAAGTGCTCAAGGACCCTCCAAAAGGATGCAAATGACCAGCTGTCTGCAAGGAATATAAATCCTTCCATTCCCCACCGTCCAGTCAAGAGCTGAAGAGACTTCTTGGATGAGAAGCGAAACATCTTCAAAAGAAAAAAACCAGAAAGTCTAGATGCCTCCTGAAAAAAGCACCTTTGGGATAACCATGGCCTGGATGACTGAGGATCTCTACAGATGCCATAGCTATTATTTTCAGGCTTGTCGGGAAAGTGGTTTTCCCACATTGGCTTCTTAAAATATTGGCTCCCAAGTGCCTCTTGATGTTGACAGAAGCACAACTGATAGACACTCATCATAAGACACTCATGTTATGGCGTGGGATTGCAGGATAACCACTTGGAGCTTGTTCAAAAACTTCAGCTTGTAAAAAATCCAATCTCTGAAGGCTCTTAATAGAAATAAATGTATACATTTTGATCTTGGGCACTTTACAGGTCCTGTTGGGTTGCTAGTCACAAAACAGCATGTTTAATGCTTAGTTTTAAATGAAACTGGCAGCAGAGAGTTTACTTTCCCTAATTCTGGAGAACATCAGCCTAATCGGTCCTTCTCCCCACGCAGATACTATGCATGGTGGCGGTACCATATGCTACATTCATTTACTGCAACAGCCGGTTTGCTACAGGCTTCTGAAGTAAGATGACTTTTTTAAACGGAACATATTTAATCTGACAAATAGGGTTACAGTGGGTCGTAAGACATTTTCTAATCACTGTCAGTTTTCTGTGCGTGTATAAATACATAATGGACTATTTCAGCATTGCATTTTTAAAAAATTCAATACATGTAGTACTGACTTACGGCCACTATTGTGACCCGAATTTTGTTAAGTGAGTCACAACCAATTTTATTACCTTTATTGCCATATGTTTAAGTGAACCATGCGGTCTTTAATCATGAATCCAGGTTCCCCCAGTGACTGCTTGCAAGAAACTGTCTGGGAAGGTCATAAATAGTGATCACATGACCCTGGGATGCCACAATCATAGAATAGATTATAGAATAGAACAGATTTTTTTACTGGCCAGATGTAATTGGACACACAAGGAATCTGTCTTGGTGCATATGCTCTCAGTGTACATAAAAGAAAAGTTACGTTCATCAAGAATCATAAGATACAACCCTTAATGATAGTCATAGGGAACAAATAAGCAATCAAATCATACTAGGAAACAATATCGATATAAATCTTAAGGATACCAGCAACATGGTTACAGTCATACAGTAATAAATGTAGGAGGAGATGGGTGATGGGAACGATGAGAAGATTAATAGTAGTGCAGACTTAGTGAATAGTTTGACAGTATTGAGGGAATTATTTGTTTAGCAGAGTGATGGCATTCGGGAAAAAACTGTTCTTGTGTCTAGTTCTGATGTGCAGTGCTCTATAGCATCGTTTTGAGGGTAGGAGTTGAAACACTTGTGCTAAGTGCCCAAACTTTTTCTTGTGCTCAATACACAAACAATAAAAATGACAACGAATTGAACCAGTGGGGAAATGTAAAATTTGTTACTACCGGTTCTGTGGGCGTGGCTTCGGGGGGGAGGGGTAATGTGACTGGGTGGGTATGGCCAACTTTTTTTTTTTTTTTACTTTTAAAACCATTTTTTCTACAACCTCTTCGACCGAAGAGGTTTTTTAAAAAATGCTTTTAAAGGCCTCTGACGAT